TTCTGTGTTTCTTAGCAATTCTTTAAGGAGCCATCATTGTATTTTATTTATGTGCTTTTTCTAGCATTTTACATGACTTATGGGTATAGTTTAAAAGGATTATTTAAACTGACAAAGACCATAATTAATAAAGGAATATCCAGGACAAGTGAGTCAGACGACATTGTAGAAAGCACCCATTTATGATTTGGTTGGGTTTCCTTTCAAAAGAATTGTGATTTTTGTTCCCATTTGCTGTAAATTCATTTGGGTTGGGTCATCTGAGAGTCTACTTCTCTGATGCTTAGAAACCTTATTCTCATTAAATTTAGTCAGGGCTATTTGGTGCCATTTGCTTTTGTGTCAACATTATCATCCACACTGAACACCTCATTTCCCACTTCGATGTTTACCCCTTTCCATGTTTATGGAGGGCAATTTTATCTTCTATCAGCCTTCATTTTGTCAGGCTAACAAGACAAGCTTTGCTCTTTTCTGATAAATACACTCCTCATTTCTCTTATCATCCTGACAGATTTCCTTCAGTTTAATATTTTTTTCTTAATCAGGGGTCATCACATTCAAAATGTGACATCAGTATTTGGTACACTAGCATTAAGATTTCCATGATTCTACCAGAAATACCTCACTGACACCTGCTAGGATTATATATTCTCTATAGCTACCTCTCACTCATACCTCACTGTCACCTTTGATAACTGAAATGCTGTATCTGGAGCTTTTTCCTCATTTGATTCTACTAGATTTCAAGTTACAGCAGAGCCATTTTCTTAGATTCACTATTATTATGTGACCTGAATGTCCTCTAAAGCATCCATCGCTGGTCACAGCTGAAGAAAATATACTGATCAGATGAACCACGGGCCTCACCCAGAACAGCAGCTTCTCATATTTCTGACTAGCAATGAGAAAGATTGAGATAGGAGGTAACTAAGGGTCAAAGTCTGCTTTTCTCTACATTGGCGAAAATCAACGGGATATTGATAGTTCTTGTTCCCTCACGTAAGCTAAAAGGACAATTTCCCCAAAGAATTAGGCAGGTGTGCTATTCCTGACAGAATAGTCACAAACGAACACTGATATGTCCTGGGTTTTGTCACAGATGAAAAAAGGCTTTGCAAATTCTCTAGGATCTTCTACTGCAGGAGACAGAAGAACCCTGGGAGAATTACTAGCAGTCATCAGCAAAAAGCTATCCATCTGAAGCTGCTGTAGTGCGTGAACTCATAAAGTAAACTCATTTTTTAGCTATGCTTAAGATTGATTTTGGCTACCGTGATCATCCTTTTTTTCTCCCTTAATAAACAGCCTTTCTAGCAGGCCTTTCTGCAGAAGTTTAATGATGTGAAATCTCAGCATCAGTCAATTTGACAAGGATAGAATGTGTAACTGCCTCCTGGGCACAATGCAATTATGCAGATAAAAAAGTCTTTGCAGGACAATTTCCAAGAGTCCAGAAAACACCATGAATCTATCTGTGGAGAAGGGTCCTTGTCAGGGTTCCATTACCAATTCCATTAAATACTCAAATGGTAATACTTAGAAACTAGTATTTTAGTTTCTGCCTCTATAATAAGAACAAAGTAATTTAATTTGTAATTTTTTTTTCACATAATATCTTTTTCCACAGATTTAAAGGGTGTAACCACAGTACATTCTCACAGAGTAAAGATAAGTATTTTCTGCTTTTATGTCCTTCAGATTTTTGGATACCCAACTTGAAAAACTTCAGTTTCATAAGTGCTGGGAATTTGCATTTTCAGATGCAGTCAACAGGATCTCGCATGCAGTGCCTGTAGAAATTGGGCCGAGGGCTTCTGAATGCCTACCCAAAATAGGAGCCTTCTTGAAAAATGAATGCTTCAGTGAGTCATTTGAGATCAAAGAGGAAGTTAGAAAGTGAGGCAAGGCAGAAACCAGATCTTCTGACTCTTGGTGTCTGGTTCTAATGATTAGATTATACTGCTCCTCAGAAAGCCAGCCGCCAGAGGGGTGACCTCTTTTACCAACGTGGGTCACTTCCATTAGCTCGGTAGTTATTGTTCTGTTGTTTTGATTAGTGCTATTTCAAATAAGTGGCCAGCTCTGTGGAAAGGTCATTACCTTTCTGAACTTTTACTCTGTAAAAATTATGTTGCTAGGGAAATGATACCAGAAAAGTAATCAATTCTTGTTAGACCTCCAAATCCTACATTCAGCTGCTTAGCTGCTGGCTGGGCACATCTCAGTTCAGGAGATGACTCACTCCATTAGTGTAACTCACAGCAAACATTGCTCAGCCATGGCCTAGCCACATTTGACAAGTACAAACATGTTTTGAAACAATATCAGCTGTTAAAGGCATTAATTCTGAAGGGGGAAAGAAAAAAAGGTATAAATCCTCTTCAGGAAGAGTTGGGATTCTCTTGTAAAATTCTCTTTATTATATACGTAGGTGCACCAGATGATCCCCATAAACATGAACAAGCTTACATTGCTAACACTTCTCTGTCACAATGAAAATACAGCTGCTTATGAAATCTTGAGATTCACGTTGATGTGCCATCCAGCCATCAGGATAGCTTCAGTAGTTCTCCTGTAAAATGTAGTCCTTATTAAAAGGCCTTTCATATAAACTTGTCCATATCTTTACTGTTGAAATAAGACTTTGAAAACAGAGTATAGCTGTTATTATACTTGGTTTGGATTTGGTAACAAAGCTTGGACCATTAGTGGCCAATATTGCTATACTATTATACTTCATATGCAGATGTAGCTGTTCAATTCATGTGGCTGGAGAACAACGCATACTGCCATGTTACTGCGCTTGGCAAAGTACTAGTATATATTAGTACTCCTATACTGAACTAAACCAATATTGTTAGCCAAATCAAAAGACTCAGAAACTAGAATTTCTGATTTGTAGAAGTAACCAAATAACAGAGGAGCACAAATCCTATTGCCTTCAGTAGTACCTGCTGGGTGTGGGTATATCAACTCTTAAACTCTTTGGGGACAGAGCATGAAAGGCACTTAAGAATCAATGCACTTACATATGTGTGGCATTTTAAGCATTTGAATACTCCTATGTATTTTAACATACTATTTTACACTGAAAATTAAGCCTGATTTAATAGATTTTGCTGGGATAAAGACTAAAATCAGTGACGTTTTTGCATTTGCATGAATTAGTGAGGGAGAATAATGTATTCACTTGAATTTACGAAGGGTTTTAAGTGAATATATTTACATGGTTAACACCAGATTAATACTCTGTTTTCATTAAGATGTTTTTAATGAAGCACAGAGTTCTTAGTTGTGTAATCTTATCCAAAAAACTGTGCCTCTTGCAACAGAGAAATCCTTATATTCCTGCCAGAGTGCTAGTATGGTACTGATTCAGGATAAATAATAGAATCTTAAGCTCAGCTGAAAGGAATGTTTACAGTCTTTTCAATAAGCTCTGGATCAAGTGATAAGTGAGGCGTCAATACCACCACTATAATACTAGCTCGTTTCTTCTCTTCATCAGTGTGTCTGATCCAGTTTGTAACCCAGCCCAGACCTGCTTAGGGCATAGGACAAGGTCAAGAATCAAATTAAAATGATAAGTTGATAAGTTGATAAGATAAATGAAAATAGTTCTACCCCGATACCCCCCCCCCAAAAAAAAAAAAAAAAAGAAAGAAAAACTAATGTGATGGAGAATTGACAGATTGCAGTCAAACAGGCTACCGATAAAAACTGCTTACATTTCAGTTTTATGTAAATAAGGAAATATAGATGATCCAGGCAGACAGGATTATGTTGTTTCTCATCAGATGGCAGGCAGAATTGCTTATGGTGATCTGCCATGAAGAGAAGTGTGCTTGCTGAAAAACTAATCTTTAAGTTTCAGTGCTGAGCATCTGTCTGATTGAAAAATTTGCTTTCTAGCTGATGGATAAAATGTTGGCCTAACATGTAAGACATTATCTAAAGTATTTACTACCCTTACATTATCTATTCTGCCACAGTTATCACATTTGATACTGAGTATTTCAGCTGCTTATATAAAGGGAGCATTGACAATTCAAAACCAAGTCTTGCAAAAATATACAACCAACTAGTTGACATCTATCAAATTTTGGATCCATGTTTAACCAAACTTTTAAATAAAAAACAAACAAACAAACAAACAAACAACAATAAAACAGAAGAAAATTCTGCACCATATCCATAACATGACTAAGAAAATTGTACGATGTATTTGTGGATATCTATTAAGCGTTGTAGCAAAAGAAGGACTTTTTTCGCACATAGAGATACAATTACTGTATCTGAAAAATCCATCTTGATGAAAAGATTGCTTTTAGTTTTAAATGAGATAAGAGTTCAACCCTAAAATTTGCATAGAAAATCATTTGCTAGACTTGGAGAGCTGTATACATTGCCACTGCTGTCTACTGCATTTTTAGATAGATGCTTGACCTCAGCAAATTAAAAAATATTTGTTTTAATTAATTCAGTTTAAGTATATATTTCATCTAAATATCATTTAATACATTTTTTTTTGCATTTCTTTTCCAGTGAAACTGTACAAAATACAGACAGATAAGCAGTTTGTGAGAATATTGTTCTACCAGGATGAAGTACATATTTCATAGTCATGTTAAACCCTTCCATTGTTTTCACCAGAGTAAATTGCTACAGATACTGTTATCTATATTTTGTGACTTATACAATTTAAATAATTAGAACCTATATCCTCACTCTATCCACGCTCACTACTTTTACTCTATCTGTGCTTATTGGCCCTATTTGGTACTGCTATTACCATGACTTAGTATTTTTCTCTCACTTAAGATTGATCAAGATTTAGTGTTGACTCTGCATTCATTCTTCAGAGACAAGGATGAAGACAGTTCTTTTAGAATTCCACTCACCGCTCAAACTGGTGTTGTGGAGAATATAGTATAGATTCTGTATCATAGCTGTTGAAGAATAACTACAATTTGGTTTTGTTTTGCCTTGATTTCTAGAAAACCTAGATACAATGATAGCTGTGCAGACAAAGAAGAAGCTTGAGAATCCTTCCACTAAAACCAAAACAAAGCTACCAGCAGGTACTTATTCTATATTATCTTACCTGGAAATCCATATTTAATAATATTTTTTTATCCAGTTAAAGCAGGTTAATTGTATTAGAATTGTAATAGAAATGTATTAGAAGAGGGACTGCTAGCTAAAGATATTGGTCCCTCAAGGGTCTGTAGCCAAAGCTTGCATGTCTAAATGTACAAGAAGAGATGAGTTTTTACTTAATTGGCCAGTATTTGAGAAGCATATTCACTTGACTGTCCTTTTCAGAGCAGTGCAAATGTTACTCATATACAACATCAAGCCATTTGAATGCTTTTTAAGGTTTAGGTTAAAAAATCACCTTGTCAACTTTGGATATGGTGAATGGCAAATTTCCTATCCCCCCTCCCCCCTTTTTTTTCTGCACAAACAGACGTACACTTATAAACTGCATATTATTGTATTTTAATTACCTGTATTCAGCTACTGTTTGTAAGAGCAGAAACAGATATTCCTGTTTCCAGGGGTCTGGGATAGAGATGACCTTTAGAAACCAATTTGATACAGTCTCCAATGAGTTTGTTCCTCAGTCATCAGTCAAAATGTTTTACTTCTTAGAGATCATACTGACATAATTTAGAAGTGCTTTTGGAACACAGGATACAAAATTGCTCTTATTATTATTTCCTTAGACAAGAGTAGTGAAGAAGCAGACAGTACAAAGGAAGAAGCAGCTAAAATGGAAAAGGAATATGAAATCTCAAAGGACTCCACAAAAAATGAAGAACAAAATGCAGCAGGAAACAGTGAAGAGCCCAGAGGTACAAAATAGCCCTTGTTTTTGCTACACATGTATGCCTTGAGTGATTAGAATCCTTTACTATCTTTGGTCTTGTTTTTCCATTGTGCTAGCATAAATATATTAATTTTATATAGTTACTAGGAGTCAACACACAATTGTTTGATTCAGAAGTTTATTTAATTATTTGCTTACCTTTAAGCATACAGAAACCATAGCCCATGCTGAGTAAGGCCATAACCCTTTACATTAATGAAGGGTTATGTAGTAGTCTAGATATACCTCCAGAGTAAGTTCTTTCTCCTGTACTCAAAAACTTTCTTCATCATCATTTTATTGTCCAGACTTGGTGAACTTCCTTAAGAAGAGATATATAGAGAGAATATTTATCAGGTAATGAATTCTAAACTTGCAAAGTAGTATGCATGTTAGGACAGAAACCTTTTGGGGGCTTCTTATTGCTAAATAACCAGCATAAACATCTATGTTTTGTAGTTATTTGTTTAAAAAAAAAATAGGCATACAATTTGCTTTGCACTGATGCTGCTTTAATCTAGTCCATTTTTGTATGCACGTTTTCACTGCAAGATGTTCAATAATGAATTGCAGTGATCAAGGCTACAGATTGTAGTTTATTGGTCACCTGGTTCAGTCCTGTGGCCAGTGTACACAGACAAACTATTAGCCAGTCACAGATAGGAGAAGATATTTTTTCCAACAGAGACTTTTTAAGTACAGAAGATAAAAATTGCTCAGGAGGGTTGTTCAATTTCACAGTAAAGAAAAATCGTCTCAGTACCTATAGGGTGTAATAAATAACGTTTCCCTTGTCTGTTGAAGATTTTTCTGTTCGACTTGGTTCAGGTTATTTTACTTTAACTTCCAAAAAAATGTTCAGTGTTTAGTTGTCTCATAAAATATTCATTGCTCTCTCATAGAATAGCTTACTATAAAGCTAGCTTTGCAGTCTCAGCTCAAAATTTACAGTATATCTGATACAGTATCTGCTTACTAAAGTATAAGCCTTCTACAAGAAAATCACGCTAGTGTGCTTTTTGTTGTTGTTGCTGTTTTTTCTTTCCTGACAAATATAAGAACATCACATCAATAAAGCTCTAGACAATTTAAGAATTCAGAATCCATTATCTGGAATATTTCCCTAGGGGCTTTATTAGGTAATCCTGGAACTAATTCTGTCCTGTGTGCTTTCTGGTCCAAAAATAGCCATCACTTCAAAATTTCAGCTATATAAAGGACATATAATGGTATTTTGAATGCTTTCCTTTTCTCAGTAAGTATAAGTAGCTATATTTCAGCTCATCTTCTCAAAATATTCACAATCTTATATTTGCTATATGCTGTTAGTACTGATGAATAAGCATTTCTGACATTTTGTACATGAGCAGATAGTCAATGCTTTCAGTGTTAATTAAGTAATTTCCTGCCATCTGAACAGCTTCAGCTTTGCTGAACAGTTCTTATGATCAAAAAGCTACAGGTTGGCTTCAATTCACATACACAGTAGTTGTGGATGCCACCAAAAATTATGTACACAAATCCAAAAAAAAAAACACCAAAAAAACATGATTCTAACTTTGTGGATGAGTAATCTTGTACAGATAAAACCTGCTAGCCATCTGTGGGAATTTTGACTGACTAAGGTTGACAGGACTCGGCTTTTAAACAGAAACTAATAATAGTTTTAATCTTCCTTTGCTCAGTTAAACAAGCTGCATCAATCATTGATATATGTGCTCTCTCATCCTTTACTCTAGGGAAAACTGAGGCATATTTGGAAGCAATCAGGAAGAACATAGAATGGCTAAAAAAACACAACAAACAAGGTAACAAAGAAGGTATGAAGTAAAAGGCCTGGACATTGGGATAGTTACCATATAGATTACAAAGCATGTAATTTATATTCCATAACTTAACATTATGTTACAGGCTAAAAAATAATAGTATGAAACCGCGCTTGTCTGTATTATAGTGGTAATAAGTGAGAGTTAAATAAGACAGGCCATGTAAAAGTTAAATCAATGTATGAAAATAGCAAACTAAGGCAAAGTCATATAAACTGTCTCAAACAGCCATTGGCCATGAAACACATGGCAACTAACCAGTTAGAAGTTAGTCATGTGCTGTCCAGATAGTCATGGTAAGTCAATTTTGTCAAGTGCTTCATTTGTTAGTTCAACATACCTTTTAATTATGATTTTACACACATGGTAAACATCTTTTTAGATGCCTGGATTTGTCTATCTATGTGACCAGCACTGTAATATATTAGATTACAGCCCGAACTACTCTAATGTGTTGTGTCTCTCACATATAAAGCTATGTAGAAGGGGAGCCGTGACAGAAGGAGATACACAGGGTATGCTCACCAGCTGCTCCACTATTCGACTCTTCCTTGGAGGCAGGACTACATGAGAGCTGGAGGGAGGAATCTAACAGCAGCAGGACTTCTAGCTTATTTTTCACAGATCTTTATTTATCCATGTCATGTTTTCCTTCAAGATCTTAATATAAAACCAGCTTCCTATCCCTTCTCTCTGCTATTGGTGGGGCTTCATCTGTCAGCTGCTCTTTAAATGAAGGTTCCTAGCCAAGGGATCCATCCCTGGGGTATTAGTGGAGCCTGGTGAGAAGAGTCCTTCATGCACCAGCCAAGCAGAAGGGGATCTGAGATAAGATTAGCCCTGGGTAATCTAACCACCCTCTCTGTGAGTTGAAGCATATATGAATTACATTTCACAGACAAGTGCATGTCTGCAGCCCAACACATTAATTTTCCTATACAGAAACTCTGCAATGGGAAGGACTTTTTTTTTTCAAGCCTACGGTTATTTTTCCGATCTGAAAACTGTTTCCTCTCAATGGCAACAACTGCAGTTAGCAGGAGGCATACACATTTGCTCAAGAGTTTTCCTGACACTTCTAATAAACATTTCTATTTATTGGTGTACTCATTATAATCACTATATCTCAGTCACAAGTGATTATTTCTCTGTATCACACGTACTGACAGGGCAGCCCCTCGCTCGTCTTCATAGTAACATTTCTTCTTGCACTACTGCAGCCTGCAAATGGCTGTGACTACAGATCAATAGCATTTTATCTGCCTGGGAATGCATTAAGATGTACGGATGTTACTACTCCCAGAAAATGGATCCACTGTGCTACTACTGAATGCATGTCTTTCTGTGTAGATGGATTTTCATTTACACTAAAATATCTGTCCTCTGGCAATGGAAGTGGGCCTTAAAGTCGGCATAAGTTATAACAAAACTAGAATACAGTTCTTACTCTTCTGATACATTATTGTTATTGTACCTTTTCCTTACTTTTTATTTTTATAAAATGCTAATTCGGTTCTCCTGGGATGATGATAAAGGAAGTACAGTCAGAGTAAGGTTATCTAGCAGTGAATGCATTGTGTTGTGTTTCTTCAGTACACGATTAGGTATCATTTATGTGCTCATCAATTATTTCTCTACTTCCAGCTAGTACCTGGGAGCTAGCAGAAAAACGATTCACAAAGTAATTCATGTATTAAAATGACCAGTCTTCTCTACCCTTATTCATGGATTGTTTATTCACAGGGTATACATGAAGAGGTTTAGGTTTGCTTCAGGAAATGTTTGTAGGTCTTTAACTTTGGATGAATTTCACTGGAAGTTAGTTTTCATTGAATGACTGATGACCTTGCAAGTGTTCATTTGCAGTTTCACAGTTTAAAAATATAAATTGCCTTTTTAGGAGGCAAGTAATCTTCAGTGGTCTGGATGATTTAGAGAGAAACATGTAAAGGCCTAGATTTTGGCCTTACTGGCTTTTGTGTCCAGAATTTGTTTTGCGTATACAGGAAGAACAGAGGTCTGTTCCTCTGGCTGGCTTGATCTCCCAGACCTGGCTTCATCTCTGAAATCAATGCTCTTTTAAGACAAGCTCCTCTCCTGTGTAAATAAACATCTCTCCCACTGCTAGGTGTAGGCTGCTGTGTATTCTATTACTTTTTAGTGTCCGCAGAACACAACTGTGAGTCATTTAACTAATACATGCAAATAGCACGTTTGAATTTTTCACAGAATACTTAGGCAGTTTGTAGTTTCATGATGCTGACGGTAGCCATTAAGGAACAAAAATCAATTCTGTGATTAATTGTAGGATGCAATAGCAAATGGCAAGATTTGAATATGCAAACAAGACCTCACTTCATTTACTATAGCCATTTCACAGCTTAGTGTAATGCTGCAGCTATTGTGGTGAATATAAATTGAAACTGGTTTTTCTAATTCCTTGCGCAAAATAATAGGTTGTAAATAAGCATTAGAAATTAAAGACCATTACTAAGTTCTAGGAAAAAAAAAAGAATTATACTGCCGTGAGATATACAAATTAGCCAGAATTGGATAATATCTTAATGGTTATAATCTCATGTAGAATGTATTTGTTTAGAAATTAAACCATCACATCTCCATGTGACGTTTAGATGTAGAACTTAGGGATATGGTTTAGTGGGGACTGTTAGTGTTAGGTCAGAGGTTGGACTCGATGATCTTGAGGTCTCTTCCAACCTAGAAATTCTGTGATTCTGTGATTCTGTAATGATCAGAGAGTTGTAAATACTATCCTATTTTTAAAAAAATAAACCTAGGAATTTGAATGTGGTTAATGTGGATATTATATTATATTAATTTAGTATTTATTGTTCCATCTATTTCCGTTCCATGGAATCTTTCACTGGAGACTCTCATTTTGTCAACATGAGTCAAATCTCAAACCCTTATTACTAAATGGCTATTTAATTCCCTATTACTGAGATAGGATGAAGAGACAAACTGGTTATATTCTCTCAAGCAATCCCAATAACAGACTGGAAATGAAGTCCTAGCTTCAGTACAGCAAATGGCAAAATTAACTCAGATATGGACAGGACATCCCTGCAGCAGTAGGGTGTTTTAAATATCTGTTTTCTGTATTAGTCACTTTAGATTACTTTATACTGTTATAGAAAAGATCACAAGCATTAATTTGCATCTTTAATGTCTATCTACTTCTATCTGGTTTTGGTCACTCTGTAAAAAGACAGAAAAAGTATTTTCTGTTTTGTTAACAATGTGCAGTTTGAAAGAAAGTCCTTCCATTTATGTATGGTGGTATACATTGGACTACATTACAAAGTTAGTATTAATACCACTTGGAGGTTCTGTCCATGGAATAAGTCACTTCTGAAATTTTCAGGATGAATCTGTTTTTATGAGAGATACTAAGTAATTTAACCTAGTATGAAACCTTAAGACATTGATGTTCTCCCAACAACTAACTTGTGATTCTAACAAATTAAGCTTTATATTTTATGCAGCTTTATATATTTATGTAACTGAAACATTGATGTGTTTATGTGGGAATATACTGGATCTGTGCTTGGCAGAGTTCAAACTCCACAATATATGTAGGTTACATTTTTAAGTTATCTGAAAGATTGCTTTAAAGCAGAATTCTCTTCATGGGAAATAGTGATGTTTTTTATCATAGGGAAATGTTGTTTAATGCATATACATGTACTATGAATCATGCTGCATAGATGCAACCATCTATGAGAAAATGAGAAAGGATCTGTCTGCACTGTATTGCAGATTGACATACAAAGACTGTCAAAGACTACTTTGAGAGTAACACTGTCATAAAGACTACTCTGCAGTATTTCTCAAGTCAGGATACTATGTTCTGTATGAAGGTAAATAATTATATCATGTCCATTTACTTGCAGAAATTTGCTTTCTTGAGTTTTCTAAAAAGTCAATTTTTACTGCAGGTGTCTGTAATAAGTGCAAATTTTATTGGGATTTTTATAGGAAACAGTCAGTTTAATACTTTTCTTTGAATCCATGACAATTGTGAAAATATTAGGGTTTTAAAAATAGCTTTTCCATGCAGACTAGGACATTGCAAATATTCTTACTTTAGCACTTACCAGCAAGCAATCAAGCACAAGAGATGATTACTCTTGTACTCTTGAATAGCAAAAGAACCAAGAGGTGTAAGAAGACATTGTGTAGGTGTTTTTCTTTTTCTTTTTTTTTTCTTTTTTTTTTTTTTTTACAAGTCGCATTTATAGTGAACTCTCTTTTGTTGGATAAAATGCATTTATTGGTAAACCAAGCAATGGCATTGCTTCTTAAGTGAAGCAATATAATAGCAATGACTCACTGTGTAAATGAATTCTTATTTTTCAGATTATGATCTTTCAAAGCTGAGAGATTTCATTGATCAGCAAGCTGATGCGTATGTGGACAAGGGCATCCTGGACAAAGAAGAGGCAGATGTAATTAAACGCATATATGGCAGCCTGTAAAAAGCTGATGGCTGCCAAACACGTAGAAAACTAGTATAGCTTCCCCTCCTCCCAGCTCAATGACTTATGATCTGTTATTTTGAGGATATCATTAGAAATGCTCTGTTTACATTGTACTGATAACTTTCTAGACAGAGAAGAGGAACTGTAGTGCTTCGTGCACAGACTGCATACTGTATTTTCCTGCACTCACAAATCAAACCTAAACTCCAAATTCTGACACTGAATTTCAATTTGACAGGGTAAATAATTATGTAATGTTCTCTTTGATTTATTTTTTGTGTTTGGTTTACTTTTGTAGATAAAAAAATTGTTTCTGATGGACAGGTCTTTTAATGATACACCTTTTTGCTCTCACTCCACTAGCTTTCTATAGATGCAACTATGTAAAGGGCATTATTAGAAAATAGTTCATAGTTCTCTAAATAAAATATTTGAAAATAATTTACCTATTAAAGTTTTCATTAGTATTATTTTACATCCAGAAACCTTGTTTTAAATCCTAATATCATTTTTTCCTTTACCCTTTTTCTGTTTCTTTATGTAGTATTCTATTACTTGAAGCATAGTGTCATTAGCTAACCAATATATCTTTAACACTACAACTGTCGCCTTTCATATTAAAGAGCTGTATTCTCCCTATTGTGGCTTCATTCAGCATGTATAAATGTTCTTTGGTACACCATTTTATGATTGTGCATGCATTAGTTGAATCCCTTATCTGAGTAGCCTGATAACAAGTGTAAATAGCCATTACTTGCTTAGGGAAAAAAGAAATAATTAAAGCCATTTTGCAGGAAAAGGAGAGTTTTCAACTGGAGATACTTTAGGAACATGGGTCCTGTTTTTCAGAAAGACCTTAAAAAACTATCAGATCTCAGCATCCCTGAATATCAAGGCCATGATCTGCTTACTGACTTTGCTCTGTGTTGAGCAATATAAATTTTGGAAAACTATTTTTGGCAAATGTATGCTATGTATGCTATCACTAGCCAATTACTTGGTACACAAAGGGTGAAAAAAGGAAACAAAAATGTCACCCTAATTCTTCTCTCTCACCTTACAGAGCTTATGAAGAATGGTTTAAGAGATCTTTTCATATTTAAGCAGATGGATGATTGTATACATGAAAAACTTATGAAACAAGAGCAAAAGTAAAGACATTTTTTAAACAGTAAATTCTAGACACAGTTCCTAAGATGCAGATCCCGAGACTTATCCCATGCAGCCGTCATTTGTCTAAATGAACTCTGGGAAAGTTCTCTTCTCTTTACTCTCTTTTACTTCTCTTTACTGTTTCTTCATTGATCTTTGAGGCTATCCCTCCTATGATTTAAAAAAAAAAAAAAAAAAAAAAAAGGAAAGAAAGAAAAAAAGATACTTCCCAGATTGCTAGTGTTAGCTGATGCAGAGATCGGTAGCCACCTACCAGTGAAGGGAGACTTAAAGAGTACTGCTTGCATAGCACAAAGTTCTCTACATGTTAAATGGTCAGGTCATTTCTTTTCTTATTTCCTCAGCACATTTGGACAGAAAGATGGATGAGGAGATTTGAACGATATTTCTCAGCCAACTGAAATAAATTTTGGCATCCCTGCAAAACATGTTATCCACTGGACATTATCAACAGAACATTATTGGTAACAAATATTAAATAAACATGATAGCAATGAAGTGTAACAACATATCTCTTTGAAAACTGATGATACATAAGCCAATGAATGCATCCAAAAATTACATCTTGATGTGGATCATTGAATTGCAATATCAATCACTAATGGTGATATATTTTGCTAAGGTCAAAAATAATACTCAGAAATTTAGTCAATGTAACCTTTTTCTTTGAAAGATAGTCCCTTAGAAAAGCAAGAGAAAATAATTAGGAAAAAATAATTCATGTTATTCTGAATCATTGTATTTGTTTTCTTCTAAACCCTCTATTTTTTATTAGTATTATCATTTGCTAATGTTCCCAAAGAACAGAATGTCTTCTTGTTCCTTCAGATCTCATTTTTTTTTCTGAAACAGCTTGTGACTTACTTTCTTCTGTGACTATCACAACGAAAAAGTGGACTGTTTCCCAAATTTGGATTTACAAACAACATCAGGAGAAGAATAACTATCGACCTTCACAGTTGGGGAAGTGATAGTGATCTAAGATCTGCAATTAAAAAAGAAAGAAAGAAAGAAAGAAAGAAAGAAAGAAAGAAAGAAAGAAAGAAAGAAAGAAAGAAAGAAAGAAAGAAAGAAAGAAAGAAAGAAAGAAAGAAAGAAAGAAAGAAAGAAAGAAAGAAAGAAAGAAAGAAAGAAAGAAAGAAAGAAAGAAAGAAAGAAAAGACAAGTATTCCTTCCCCAATGACTACTTTGTAAAAAGCAAACTTTCTCCTCCTGTCAATATAATGAGTAGTATAATAATATTTTTAATTTTTGTTAGAAATTAGATTCTCCCTTTAGCCTCTCAGGCACCTAGGCAGGAGTCTGGTACTAACAGAAAGATACCATCAACCAGCAACCTGTGATTATAACAGTTTGTATCCACAAAAAGATTGGTGCAATTTTTTTTTAATCTCTCCTTTTGCCAAATATTGTAACTACAGAAAAACATAGATGACATCATTTAGCAAAAATGTCCAAATAGATATGACCCAATTCCAATTCAGAGCCTGTACGTTCTTGGTCCTGTTCCGTGCTTACCCTGCTCCTCTGTATCATCTATGGTACATATGTAGACATTAGACCTACATGATGTCTAGCTGACAACTGAGCAAGCCTTTTGATGGCTAGATAAGCAGTCTCAGCCATGGTTCTTCAATCAAGATTCACTTCCCATCCTGTCCAAACCCATTTACCATGTTATTTGAATGTTTCAAATACTGGTTTGATTGTTGGTACATCAAATGAATGTTTATCATTTACATCACCTTTCAGAACTAGAGAGTAAAAACACAGCCAGCCAGATGAATCACACTGTATTTCTGAAAGGCTTTGACTTATGCTAAATAAAATCCAGCTTAGTGACTTGAGTTTCAACCTGCAATACAGACCAGGCCTTATTTTGAAGGAACACTTGGAGCACATCTACACCAGACATCTGATGCCGGTGTATTTAGTACATAATTTGTAAATTATGTACTTACCCTGTCAGTACTTTTATTTCTCTTGTGAGAAAAGTATTTTCAACACCTGCACAACTCTGGCTCTAAGACTACAAAAAACAATTTCTATGTTGTTTGTATCTGCTGGATCTTTCAGAAAGCCTTCGCTCTCAAAATTATCACTGAAAATGTAACAAGTACGATATATATGGTATTCACATTTTGGGCTTTTCTATTAGACTATTGTTTCTGACACTATATTAAACACTTTACTACAAGCTATGATAGTACAAGGCTGCTTTTGTGCATTAAGGAGAATGCATCTTTTCTTCGCAATGCCCGGCCTTTTGAGGAAGCCCTAAGCACGGAGCAATAGGAGTTCATCGCTGATGTCTGCAGGAAGGGGGAGGCCCCTCTCCGAAACCATTAAGTGGAACAATGGCACCCAATAGCTGCAGGTTTGTGCACCACGGAATAGATGTAAAACAAGGAATATAATCTCTACTGTGTGTTTGACTTCTGCCTAAAATTTCCTCATTGGTAAAAATGCAAACAATAAAGTTGAAGTATAGGAAGAACAAAGGTGGAGTGAAAAAACAAATCTACAGGAAATACACAGGATGGTGTATAAATAAAATATATAGGAAACACTGTCATTTTATTAAGTAATAACATGGTGGTGGGGATTAAGATATTAAGACATTAGTTATCTTGGAGTCTTAGGAACCTGTTGTTTATGGAGTAGAGAAACTCCATCTTGAATTACTCTTTCTGTATTACAGAAATACTATTTCCAGGCATCATTTTCTCTCTCTCTCTCTTTTTTTTTTTTTTTTTTTTTTTGTGGGACTGCACACTTTTGATCAGCGCTCAGCCAGAAGCCAGGCAACTCGCCACTGCTGCTGAGGAGAGCCTGAGGGCTCGTCTGGGCCCAGCTGCCTGCTGGGCTCTGCAGGTCCCATGGCCTGCTCAGAGGCCCCGAGGACACGAAGAGAAGTGCCTTGGGTGGTCTGGGAGTGCAACTAGAGGTTGAGGTCTTGTTTGGGTTTAGTTTAGTGTTGGGGGCTGAGCAGTGTGCCCTCAGGGTGCTCCAGGTGGGAGGAGAGCTCTGAAGAAGCGTCTTCATGGCTGAGACCTGTCCCTGCTGTGTGGCAGGCAAGGAGAGGAGCGGAGGAGGCCTGTCCCGGGCAGCCTTTGTTGTGGTTAATGGTGGTGCTGAAATCTTCCCCGTGGGAATGTGCTTGTTTGGAACAGGAGACACTGGATAGGGGGCTCTTCTGAGCTACGTCCGTGGTATGGCAATGGCTGCTGCGCTGCGTGCTAGTGCAGTTGGGGTTCCTGTGAGGAGAGGCCCTGTGGGTCCATCCTCAGGGCTGCTGGCCTGAGCTGTGGGGCTTGACTGAAACCTGCCTGTGTGGCTGCTCCTGTCTGAGGAGAAAGGTGTGGTGGTGGGTTTCTGCCCCCCTGCTGTTCCTTCTGGCTGGCAGAGAGCTGCTTCTAATACCCTTCTGCATGGCTTTGCCAGTCAGGAAGCCTACGTGTGAATGGCATCACTGATACCCTGTTGTTTTTTTTCATGGAGGTCCTTCATCCTGTGAGCGTGGTAGTGCTCCTGGGAAGCGTGAGGTGAAATACAGTTGTTGGGAGCTTGACTGGCCTCATGTGGGTGCTGGAACCTGTGCTTATTGTGCAAGGAAAGCTGTATTTCTGACCTGTTTAATAAAATTTGCTAGTCCTGGGGGCTGGATAAGTGGTATTAAAATTGTAAAAATTGTAAATCTTCAGCAGGAAAAGTTTTTTTTTTTCTTTTTTCTTTTTTTTTTTCTAAAAGGTTACAAAAACACATCTGGGCCTTAAGCTGGAATCTCTAGAAGAAAAGTTTCTTCTGGCTCTGGTAATGCCCTACTAGAATTAACTGAAAACAGTAGAAATTAGTATCTAAGCAATAAACATAAATCCCCATTTTAAAAATACAGAAAGAGCTAAAACTAACTCAGCAGTCTCCACAAGAATGAATGCTTTCTTTACTCTCAACTTTCCCTTCTTCTTGGGAATTTGTGTGCCACTACACCGGATCAGAGCTAGAGACATTCTGAATGAGTCTGCTGGATGGAAATTCCTGCAAGCTCTAGGGACATACTAATTCCTGACTAGATTTGAACTTGTATTTCCAGGGCTTTTAGGCGCTTATTTCTAGTGTTAAATTTTGAAGCAATATTGAAAGCTAGTTACTGTATTGCAGGAAGTTTTCTCTTCATTTGAGCAAGCAATAAACTATACAGGTGAATTGATGAACAGGTAACATCTGTCACAGCAGGGATGCAGCAATTCTTTACTGAAGAGTTTTGTGAAGCTTCTTAAATAATTGAGGGGAAAAAATCCAGGATGATTAACAAGAAGTTGCTCACATATTAACTACAGGGTGAAGAATGAATGCAGTTTGCATTCAGCATTCCTGAGCTTCAGGTGAGATCAATTTGCAGACCTGAATGCTGACATCTTAGAATAGTGAAGGCTTACCAGTGCTTTTTATTAACTTTAATGAAAGGTTTTGGTTGACTGCACAAGTAGATCAAATAGTTTCTAGGAGTCTCATTAGTAGTAAATAACAGTAAACTCTTGGGTTAAGAAATGACTTCATGTGTGTAAGGGAAGAGGCAAGGGTGGAACTTTGTATATAGTAAAGGAGCACATTTGCCCTAAAATTAACATCTAATAGCTCATGTAATTAGATAAATCATTCTTCACAAAAAAAAAAGTCTAGAACCAAGCTGACTTCATAATGAACAAACATTGAAATTTATTTATTAAATTAAAACCACACAATGTAACTGCACACAAGAACACACAACTGATATTTCAATGCTTTATCTTACAAAAGAAAAATCTCTTGCTGTAACGCTTCCCTTTTACTAGCCAATGTTTGTAGACGGCTCTTTAGTAGTCAAGGCTTTAACTAATGAAAACAAGCCAGACTCCCCTTCCTAGAAATAAAGGATGTTCTTATAACCACCCAGACACGTACAGTTCAGAGGCAAGTTCTGCAGCCCTGCAGTAGACACAACTTCCACAGCAAGCTTGCCTGTGTCTGCAGAATAAGTAAACTTCCACTTGTGGTTTTGTCATTTACAAGCAAACTTACTTAACATCTTAAATACTTAAAACAAATTTCACTTTAACAAGTATTTACAAAATCTTTACTAAAGATCAACATCCTGCATAAAGGGTGACCTCAAGGATATATTGTTGCTACCATGCTACAGTTTGCACAGAAGGGGTATAAAGGCCATTGCTAGTTTTGGAAGGCTTAAACCCTTTGTTCACATAGCATAAGGACATTAACCTATGGAAGGCAGAAGAGGTCATAATTTCAGTGCAATTACCCATTCATGACTTGTATAAAGTACAACATGATGATGAGTCCAAAAGACTTTTTTGAATTATTGACCATTTAGTTCTGTAAGAACTGATTTCATGGAAAGTTTTCAGGCCATCGCATCTGTCTTCTAGTGGTGATATGAAGAAGTTGCATAGGGACCTTCCTCATTCTCCTCCTCTCTAGAAAGGAAACGATCATAATCATCAGATCAGGGACAGATACCATGCCTCAACAATACAAATTTATTAAAATGTGAACAACTACTTTTCCTAACGGATCAAAATAGTTAAGAGTAATTTCCTAAGAACACTTGTATACTACTGTTCATTATACATGCCTGGAATTCTCATTACTTTCAAGAACAGAAGGCTAAAAGTAAGTAAAGCTGTAAAGGTTCCACAACATTAGGATGTTTAGAGCTTAACTATTTGTGGTATTATCGATTTGGCACTATTATAAAGGATAAGCAAGTAGAGAGCATGCTGGAGTTCTATTTTTCTATCTATTCTGTTCTCCCATTTCTCTTCAAAAATAATATTTCAATCCTACATTTGCTTAAAGCCTTTTGAGTGGCAGAGGATGCAGATGGGCAAACTAGGCAATAAGGGGAGTGATCCATCAGTTGTATCTGTATCTGTCTTAATGCTGCAAGGATTTTCCCTGAGTGGATTTGTTAATATATTCTCCCTGTGCATCACTCAATATTGAGACTGATCACTTAGAATTTCTTAGTGGGAAATAGTTGCCTACAAGCTCTAGTGTGATGACTGGATAAACCACAGTAGTATTGCTATTAAAAATCCTCAGGAAACATCAGTCTGCTTACTGTTTACTTGACAATACCGCCCTTTTAAAAAAGTGTTCATATATACAATGCAGTGCAGCAACTGGTACTAATATGAACATGTGAAGTACTACAAAGACCATCATTTTCTAGTAGTATATCTTTAAGGATAGGTTCAGTAACATAATTTGGAAGCTGCTGTCAATTCTAGCATGTTGGTGAGGACTGAAAGACTTCAGTTGTTGTACTGTGAGCTTCAAAGGATTTATTATTCTTAATGATGTACATGCCTGCAGACAAAGGTACTGTTACTCAAATAACCTAGTAATGGTACAGGGTACACTATGCGCTCCAATCACGTTCCAAATGCCATCATGCTTTTTCCTGCTAACTTCTAAACACCATTAACTACCGCTTAAATTTTGCATACTACCCTAGAATACAAATGGGATAAAGCATGGAGTAACCAAGCAGCTGAATAACTTGTTCTCATTTTCACAATCTTCGTCTTTTCCTGAGTAGTCCAGAAAACAAACAAACAAACAAACAAAAACAAACAACAACAACAAAAAAACTTAATCCAAAGATATTTCTTGAATTGAAACAACTTGTCAAAAAATTAAACCTCCCAGAAAATAAGGTTTTGAGTTAAACTTGCAGTTATTGCAGGGATATGTGTGACATCATTCCTAGAAAATTAGCCTATCAAAGTAGCAGAACAACTACAATCTAAGCTGTTCATACCTACTGCTGCTGTGAAATATGTACTTAAACTATGGGCTCACATGGCAGTCTTCAATACAGGGCAGAAGACTAGCATTTGGGTCACAGCCAACTTTGAGGGGTTTCTGTATGTGGTGGGATGTAAGAATTATGTAGTGGGTGACTGTGCTTGAAGATAAGCAAAGTCGTGACTTGCCGTAATGTGCAGAATAAACTTCTAACCAAGGCTCAGGAATGCTGCAGTTGGCAAGACAGCTTCTAGCATTCTGTCCCAGGCTGCAGTGCTTTGCTAAGCAAAGAGGTTGACAACACATTACTCCAAACCATGGTAATGGTCAGGAAGTACGACTACTGTAGATCTTCAGAGTTGTACGTAGCAAATACAGCTTATTTCAAATAGTCTTAAACCAAGCCAAGCTTTATATGAAGTAAGATTACATAGTACCTTTGGTCCATTGTCCACAAGCAGCAAAATAGCAGTGTGTGTATATGTTTAATGACTGAATATTCCTTTACTTTTAAGATGCTTAAAATAGTGAAGTGGTAAGTCACTGTAACATTCCCCTTGAGGCAGAGGGAAAGGAACAGCAAAGAATTACAATGTTTTATAGTTCTATCTCTTCCTGAATGCTGCTGCCACTTGGCCCAGCAGGATGCAAGCACAGAAAAATGCCTACTGCAAGCTATTGTATGTATCAGGCCACAATAACAAATGCTAACCACCACTTCCATAAGACTGAGCATGCTTGTGACTGAACAAGGAAATTTAAATCCAGTCCTTAGATGCTTCTAGCATCCAAACTTAAACAAGGCAGCAATAAGAGCTCAGCTTCTGGAAATGTGAGTCTCCACAGGTACTGTCCTTTATTGAGGTATCTCTTTTGTGAGCTGATGGCTAATGATGGTGGACAATTATTGGATAAATTAACTGAACTTGTTGAAGCATTTAAAACTTGTAATACCGTATTCTTTTCTAGGCTCAGTTCTAGGCAACAAAGCTGGTGACAACATAAGGTTCTGTTCCAGTGCTGCATGCCATTTAATTATATTGCCTTATATAAGCACTGATGATTAGAGAGGCTCTATTCAATTACACGGTTTTCAAAATCAGTCACTGAAAAATGCAATTGCATAAAAGTGTAACCTGTCCCAGAGGCATACACTTGGCCTTAGTGTTCTAGCCTATCACACTCTGAAATCCTAAGTACCCTACAAAGAGCTTGCATTAGATCTCTGGTGTTCTGTCTGATACAATAAGCATCACTAAACTCAATTTCAGTTTCAGCATCCTGAAACATATCCAATAGCATTTTGGGCAAAACGAAGCACTAGCATTTTCTCAAGCTACTAACTTGTGTGCCATGTGTGGAATAAAACTAGTATCTTCCATAATATGCAAATAGAAGAGTTCTCTAAATATGTTACAAACAGCTTGTGCATTTTTTTGTCTATTATAAAAATACTGTCCAAAACAAAAAAAGGGCTTCCTGTCTCAGGCTGCTCACCTAGGGCTGTATCTTGAATAAATCTGCTTGCTGCGGGGATTTATTAAACAATGACTTCTTGGTCAGTGAAACTCCAGCAAAAGTAGTAGTATGTGTAGGTCTAGATGTATTTTTCCATAAGCTATCTAAGAGCAAAACACAGTTAGCACAAACTGAGTAGATCACATTCTATGATCTCTAGCACTTGTCTGCTTGCATGGCTATTGAAGCTTAACTTATCTAAATCTACATCTGTGTGCTCCTCATTCTTTTTACCTAACAGTGAGAGGCTTTTGTTGGGATGAAGTTAACTTCAGAAGTTAATATAGTACGTTCCTTTGAGAGTACTGAAAAAAGTAACTTCAAGGGTTATAATTAAAGAACAACTCACCACCTTTGTAGCACTGGACTGTTGCTGAAATAGATACCTGTACCCAAGACAGATACCAGGTAAATGTGATCAGAATTGGTGCATGTGTGTGCTTGCATTCTTGGTGACTTTAAGGCAGACCAAACTAAAGAGCCATGTGAGATGTCATAACATCTGTCAAATCAGGCTGACCGGTATGGTGAGATGTTATGACTTCAAGTTTTGGAGCTGATTTTAAAAAACCGCAAGCAGAAGCAGATGTTCTTAGTAATGTAACTTGTCCTCCTGCATTCCTTGTTCCTGGGAAGGAAACTTTGTACTGGACCCTCGCTTCCTAAGCTATAAGTTAAGTAGCACAGGAAGTGGATATTGGTAGTGGCGTGCTGCCTGTGCAGTGTCATTTTCACCATATAGACTTTGCCACAGCATGAGCAGAGCCAAAGTGAATTTTCTTCTGCAAACTTTGTTGAAGGGATGTTAAAAACAACTGCCTTCCTCTGACAGGGACCACAGTTCAATTTCACTCACCTTAACTGCTGGGTCAACACCTACTCTAATGGATGTTAGATACACATCTAATGATCTGAGAGTCAGCAGCAGCGCATATTTTCATAGGAATGCTCTCCATGGTTTCAAATATAATAGTGTAAATGAAAGAGTTTGAAGGAAGAGGGATTTGAGGTACAACACCATTTTTCTTTCATGTGATCCAGTCAAAACAAAGTAAGTGTGCTAGCAAAATGTAACACTAAAAGCTGTCCAGCCTTCCCTGGCAGAGCAGCTCTAAATTGCTGCTGTTCGATGGGAAGCTGTATATGGAGTACAGTAGATAACAAATTGCATTCTTCAGTTGTCTTACAGGATATTTTTCCCAAATGAGGCTTATCTAACTGCTAAATCTGATGTACTGTTTCCCCTCAAGTTTTTGTCTGTTGAACTTAGTTCAAGTTGATGAAATGACCCTTTACCTTTTTGGAAAAAAAGGGGCTATACTCAACAGATTTGGTCCTGAAAGATATCGGTATTTGAAGTGAACTGGAATAATGGAAGAAGCTTTGTATCAAACAACTTTCTGAAGGAGAAGTATGTATCTGCCAGCATAACCTCTTTCCAGCTCTCCACGTGCAAAGAAGTGCGAGGTCCCTGCACTCACACCAAACTGGGTGTGCTTCAATAGTGCTCACTTACATCGCGAGACGCTTTGGAGAATATTGGCCTTCGAGCTTTCATAGGATGCTACTGCAATTCCATGAAACATACATGGAGGCAGCCTTTAACTGCCATGTCAAGGCATCTGCTAGTGGTGCACTGTAATTAGATCTTGTGCACGATGATTGCATAGACTTGCTCTTGACAAAACTACAAGTGCTATCTGAGATACTTCACAGAGAGGGTCCAGCTTAGACTAAAAAGCCTTCAGGATGAAATTAAGATGCTTAATACTAAAAGTGGCATTTACCTGACACTGTCATCTTTTAGTTTTCTGGCTGCTTGTTTGGATAACTTAATCTGCAAGTCCAATCTCTGTAGAAAATCTTTGGCAGACAGTTCTTCTGGTGCAGTGGGCTGATTGTCAGGTTCTTGAGGACTGGGAGAAGAACTACTTTCTTCCTGAACCGTCACTGAGCCTTCTTCACAAGAAGGGGAGCTGTCAACAGTTTCATTCTCAGGAGACTCCAGTGAATTAAGTCCATTGAACAGTAATGGTTTCTCTGATATAACAGGAATATTCAGGGTTTTCCTCAGAAATATACAGTCATTAGTGAACAGTTTATTTGCCCTCTTTATTTGTTCCATCTGAAAAAGATAGGAAAAATGTAAATTATTAGGTTTTGGCAAAGTATAAAATGCCACCTTCCTGAAGTACTACAGTAACCTTTAGTTAGAATAAGACTATACTTTTGCAATGGCTTCAATAAAGGATTTTTTTGCATTCAGAGACTTCAGAGTGGATAGTAAATCTTAGCCTTGTTAACTCAGCGTTTTAGTTTCTTCCTTGCATATAGACTTGATTCCATTGTATTGGTCTTCCCAGAAGTCCTGTACTAGCTGAAGATGCATTTCTGGAATAGTCTTCCAATCTCTGTACAGGCTCACGTGAATAACTTACCAAAACAAAACAAACAAAAAAAAAAAAAACACACCACAATTATATGGCAAAAGCACTGCTGGTTTGGTTTTCATTAGAGTAAGGCTCAGCACTGCTAGCAGCTGCTATAATTGAACTGCTTCAAAAAGCATGGATGAACAAGGGGGAATGGTTACCTTGAGCATCCTAGGACTTGCTGGTTTTTAACAGTGAGTACCACAGATGTTGGAAGAGCTGGATACGCTTCATCCATACTACTCGGTATCCACAGCTGATATAATACATTCAGACTCAGCTGAAGTCCTGACTTTCTGTGAGGAGTCAGGCAGTGAAAGGGATGGGAGATTCTGAACAATTTTGGATACAGTTGCATAGACTACATGCTGCGTGTGTCCAGTAAGCTGATTCTACAGCACGATTAACAAGCTCTTGTGTGTCATAATGCATCTTAACAGCTGCTGCATAACTTAAATACTACTTTGGCAACTTTTAGCCACAATGCTCCAAAGCCTACTCATCAGCAAATGCTACCTCAGGACAGAAGCAAGAATTCATTAGATGCATCTCTCTCAGCACTAATGTATGAAGACCTGATTGTTCCATACTTGATGCTATTTTTAATAGCATCTCAGGTTGTTCTACAAAGAAAAAGCCCCAGCTGGAGTTCATACTGCTTCCCTACTAAGAATATTAAGTTCTTACTCATCAAATTTTCTTCCAAGTCAGTACGTTAATGGCATGGTTAGATTTAATAGCTGAGTAACATCCAGTGTCAGAAACTCTTCAAGTAAGCTCATTACTGTCCCAGCTCCTGAAGACTGGAGACTATTTTTGGTGAACCTTGCGTAGTTTAGAGCCTGTTTAAGTTTCCTCCCAAGCAGAATACCATCTGAAGGCCAATAAGAAAGCTATGTGACTTAGTAACAAAATCAATAGTGGCCATCAGATGCAAGTGTAAATGCCTATTTTCAGAATTTCTGAAAGTCACTGCCTTTCTTGATTGTTATCAAAATAATTTAAAATGCCAGCTGGAGCTCTTCTCAATTAAAAATACATTATAAGATTAAAAATAGCTATTTTCAACTCCAGTTCTCTTATCAATGGGACTAGGAAGCTGATGCTTCAGAAGCTGATAAATAATGCACTGTACTGCTCTTCTCTATCCTACTGCACTGTAATTCTACCTCTGGTTCATTCTTCCTGGAGTATCTTTTAAGTACTATCAGGTGGCATTCTGCACTAAGTAACAGTGAAATAGGAAATATGTCTCTAAAGAATGCCCTTTGCAATCCTGAACATGTTACTTGATAGTGTGCACTATGTTCTACTCTTTCTACAACTCTGACTCATACATTCAGAGGTGCATTGCCGAAGTAGCAGGTAGTTTACCTAGCGCTAGGAAAACTCAACTGATTTGTTAGCTGCAGACCTATAATAAGAAATATTGCTCTTAATACTGTAACTGAAAATGCACTAATGCATAAACTGGTGCTGAATTCACCCAAACCACTTCCACTGACAGTGAAACAAGTAGTCCTCATCCTTCTCCCCCACTAGAAGGGATACCTTTGTATGATGGATACAGTACTCTAAGTGAACCATAAATACATGTATGATACTAAGCATGTGAGCTATTAATTCCAGAGTTAATTTACCCAAGAGTTCAAAGAAGATCTAATAAAACATCACACGAAATTAATGATATCTGGGGGGAGAAGGGCAGCAGAAGCTGAGGCCAAACAAAGCACAGTGACCTCCCTCTGTCCAACATGATATTTTCATGCATCTTACATTGCCTATACTGATGTCAACTCAGGCACTGGACAAGGATGTCTTTTGCTACGCAGTAATGCCCTCTGAGGAAAAGCACATTGGGACGCTTCTAAAACCAGCAATGCTGGAAGTAATGTCAGCCCAAGATAACTCTGATGTTCCACAGTCCAGCAACTCTCACTTTCAGGTAAGTATACAGGACATAGGAAGCAAGAGTAATGGCTCCTTAGAGGAAGCCAGTCCTTGTCATTGCGTGAATGTGTAAGACTCTTCATTTTGTTTAATGCAAACATGTCTGTATGCATTCATACCCAGGACTGAAACCATCAAGGCAATAACAACTGACCAACTTGGCAGTACCCATAGGTAAAGCTGCCATGGAATCTCCCTTTCTCAGTTTCAGTCCAGTGATGCGTGCTCCCTACAGCAGAATACTGACAACACAAAGTCAAACAACAAATGAGATCTTCAAAGCCAGCATTCATATGTTAATTGCATCAATAGCACAGCAAAAGTTTATTAACTTTGCTCACATGATGGGTTTATGGTTTGTAAGTTAAACACTTAAATTATAGTTGTAGATGACCAGTCTTAACTGAAATTGTAGAGTGTTTAGAAATGCCATTTTTGAAACTATTTTGTGATTCATGCATATATTTTTCACTTGCTGCACAGTGCAAATACTTGTGTTTTGTTCTTCTTTCACAAGTGTCAATATTTAGGCCAGAGACTATCCATCATGGAAAGTGTTCCCAAAAAGTAGTAATAAAAAAAAAAAAAAAAAAAAAAAAGGCAGCAAGGGTCACTTTGCTCTGCCCCGGTACTAAGAAAACCTTTATTTTAATGTAGACCGCTGGTAAATTCAAAATGCCACTGACTCTGCCTACAGCATTTGGTTAAGCTACTTTCTATTTCTTCCCTTAAACATTCCTTCCGCCACGAAGGCTGAATGCTGCCGGAGGCTGCTGAACCGGGAAGGCCCGCGCAGATCTCCCAGAGCCCGAGGAGGCCCCGAACCCCGCCCCGGGCAGCGCCTCTCGCTCCGCACCGCGACGGATCCTCCTCGGGCACGGGCCCAGCCGGGCGGCGCTCCCCGCAGGGCGCTCCCCGCAGGGCGCACGGCCGGGGCCTCCCCGCGCCTCCAGGAGCGAGGCGCTGCGGGCACCGGGAGCGGCGGCGGCGGCTGAACGGCGGCCCCGGGGCCCGGCCCCCGCCCCGCCCCGCCGCGGCCTTACCGTGACGCCGTACTTGAGGGCGATGCCCTGCAGCGTGTCCCCGGCGCTCAGGCGGTGCTCCACGTAGCGCTCGGCCAGCGGCGCCGCCACGCTCGCCGTGCTGCCGTACGAGCGGGCCTTGGTGCGGGCCAGCCGCTGCGACAGCTCGGCCTCCGACTCCGGCCCGCCCGGCGGCTCCTCCCGCAGCGCCTCGGCCATGCTCCCGCCGCCCCCTCAGCGCCCCGCGCCCCGCCGCCCGCCGCCCATGGCGCGGGGCCCGCGCGCCCCCCCCCTCGGCCGCCGCCCGCCCGGTAACGGCGGCAGCGGCACGGGGCGGGCTGGGCCCGGCCCGCCCTCAGCTCCGCCGCGAGCCGCACGGCGCCTGCGCGGGGGCGGCTGAGGCGGGGCGGGAGCCTGAGGGGAGCGGGGAGCCTGAGGGGAGGCGGGAGGGCGGCGGGAGGCCGGGGGGGCTGACACGGGGGCGGTGCCCGGGTCTGCTGGCAGCGCTCGTTGCCTGGAAACCTGCGCACAGAGGTTCTGCGGCGGCTGGGCCCTCGGGAAGTGATGAGCTTCACAACAAAGCGTGTGGGCTGTGTATGTGGTGCCCGTGTGCGCGCACGCAGGGTACCCAAATACCGGGGCCATACAGATACGCAGGGTACCCAAATGCCAGGGCCACACACACACATAGGCAGGGTACCCAAATACAGGGCATGCCCTGTGCAGCCCTCTCAGGGTAGCTGGATGAGAGCAGGGCTTCTGGGCCGGCTGCCCGCCAGGTCTCCAGCCACCGTGATACTGGGAAGCGGTGGGTAACAAATGCCATGGTGCGTTCCTCTTCTGGAAGCTCCTAGAAAGGCAGACCTGGCCAAGCAAAAGATATGAAAGAGCTTAATTGGTTTATGTGCTAACATCAGCACTCCTTGGTGCAGTGTGTATCCACGTAATTATTTATGGATATTTATGTCAGCTGACAATATCTAGCCGTGGCTTTTAATTGGGTTGTATTCACTGACTGTATCATAGTCTCTTGAAGGAATAAATGCAGAAATGAACAGAAATGAACGATCTGACAAAGGCTGTTAATCTGGCCACAAGTTTCCATGCATGTGTCAAAGCAGCCCTGAGAGATGCACTGGTTACAGGTAAGAACGGACACAGCAGCACCTCACCATCACATGAGAGAAGCCGGTGTGACAATCCCAGTGTCTAAACACACAGCTGCATTCAGCATGTGAATAGAACATAAGTTGGTTGCAAAAGTGACTAGCTTTAATTTTTCTGCAGCTATAAAGCATATTTGGGAAGTTGTAGGCTACCTTGGGATATCCAGTTGAGGCTATGCCGGCTCTGTAAAGAGCACCAGATTAATTGTAACCTCTGTGCTTTCAGTTCCTTCGGAAACTCGTCAGCCTGCTGAGCTGCATCAGCTTTCAGCTGCGGCCCACCCAGCGGGAGAGCTGAAGAACTGCAGGGCAGCCTTGTTAAAAAACTGCTCAGTGCAGCCATGGCTCAGCCTCAGCCTCTGACAGCCCATCAGCGGAAGCTACGAACATCTGGGTGCCTGCCCGGAGATGGAATTACCCTGACCAGTTACTTCAGCTAAGCAGCTTTTAGCACAGGGGAGCTGAAATTCAATAAAATGAAAATGCCATTCGGTGTTACTGATACAGTGAGTTGAATGTGTAATGTCAGTTTGAAAATACACTGTATGGGTGTAGTAATATTAGCTATAATGTTATCTTAAACTCTATGTGCAGTGTGTGCAATACACTTTAAATCATTGTCACACCTGAGAGCAGCAGCAGCCCTTGCATTAATATACAGATACTATAGTTATTTTAATGCTGAAAGCTTTATTGTAGTAATAAACCTTTTGAAGGATGGGTATGAGTGATTTTTTTTTTTTCTGGAGTTGCCAAACTGTGCTCTTTACATCAGCAATTCATAGAGATGTTTGTTTCTTACCCCTTAAATCCACAGTATGGCTGGGAGAACACTTGGATTCGAGATGATGCCGAGATGCTTGATTTGACTAGCTGTCTGCCTCTTCTCTAAATAAAGTGAACACCCTTGGAAACAACAACAAAAGTTAAATATTTGAGCCAGAGCTTAAATTAGGAAGCCCATTTTTACCTGCAAGCATTTCTTATATGCATTGAAAACAAGTTACAGAAGAAACTAGAAGTGCCTTACAGACAACACTTTGTTTTTTAAGGAAGGAAAATGTTAGCAGTGAGAACAGGGTGTCCGTTCTACTGAGATGTCTTCATGTCTGTGACCTTGAGAAATCTGAGGGGAGTGCCAGCTTTCCCAGTGTATTTTGGTTTGGGGTTGTTAGCTGCCCTGCCTGACTGTGGCTGAAGCTCACCAGCTTCCCAGTGTCCTGCCAGCTGGGCCTGGAGTCAGTGCTGTAGTACAATTCTGCATTGTGCCTGTGCTGCCTGTTTGTTGGGTTGCCCTGTTTGATTCCAGACAAGGTAACGAACTCCTCTGGCAGCCTGCAGGTCTTCATTGATTACCCATCCCCAAAGGTTTGATGTCGGGTTACCAAAATCGACACACTAGAAATAACTCCTGCTGTAGCTTTGGGATTCTCATTTCCCATAGTATTGTTCTCCCCAGATCAGCAGCTTACAGACATATCCGGGTATTTCCTGATGGATGGGGCTATGAGACAATTAGAGCTTTAATTGCAGGGTTTAGTGCCTGGTCATGACCTCAGTTCAGCAAGGGAGTTTCTTGGCAGTACTGTCTGCTTCTTTCCTCCCTGTTCTCTTCTGCCCTTCCTGTTTCTGTGTTGCAGCCTCTGCCACCTGAGCTTCTAGTCTGAAGGAGCTGTACTTGACCAAACCTGTTTCTTGCACTAATCAGTAATTCTTTAGGTAATGCTTACACTAAAGTCACATAACTGGGGGGTTGGACTTGCTGCTCTAATCAAGTTTATATGGGATGGAGGAGTTCACTCCTGAGTCATTCTGAGCTTGTCTGCAGACATCATTGCCTCTATTACTCACTTCATGTTTGGGAGGTTATTGCTGCAGCTATAGCAGCTGGAAACATAGTTTTTTAAATGAAAGCTTTCACTTTGGACACCTCAACTAAGTACAGTGGAGCGTCTGCCTGACATAAGAGTTTCTTAGAGTTAAATCTGTGGAGAAGTGGAAACCTCTTTTTGCTTTTTCCCTGGGGACATATTCAGACCTAGATAATGGGCCCTGCATACTTGTATAAAATCATTGTACAGGAATTGCCTATGGACAAACTATGTTTAACTACTGCTTTATAAATATTGTATCATTAGCTCAAAGGTAACTCTGGTAATGAGTAATGCATTCAGTTAGGGACTTCTGTCTCATCTTGTCAATCTAAATTAGCTCTGAGGATGAATTTTCAGTAGAGCTTCATGATGAAACTTTAAGTAACCAACAGTATTTAAGTGTATGCAGTCCATTAACTGTCAGTTAGCATTGGGTATGTAGCTGCCATTTTATCTTTGAGAATCATCCATATCTAGGTCGGTAACTGCACAGTGGTTTTGATTTATTTACTTCAGTTTGTTGACCTATATAATGGTTAAAGCCGGGAATGTTCTAAAATAGAGATCAGTATCAACTGAGTCTACCTGGGGCAGCCTATACAACTTAATGGCCAAGTAGAGAAGACAATGTTTTTTAGTTAGGTAACCATTCTGTTAATGATCAGGTATTCATCAGCTGCTTTGTCAGTAAAGAAGCCTTGGGCCAAATCTACATTGCAATTTAAATGAAATAGAGCATCATCTAACTTCATTTATGAAGCAAGCTCAGACGTTACAACTTACAGGATTTGTACTGAAGGGGGACAGGGTTGTTTTAACTTCAGGAACATTATACAGTCGTCTTCATGGGTCAAATATGTGGGCAGGATCACAGTAACTAGGACAGAACAAATGAAAATAAGGCTGCCCTTGGCAATGGGCCATGTATCAAGCTGTGCTGCCCACCTCTGCTCATGTTGCAACCTCTGACAAAAAAAATTGTGCAGTGTAGGACAAAGATCAGAGACAGATTCTGCCTTTAAAAATAATAGCCCTGGGTTCTGCAATTAATTGCAACACAGAGAAAAGGTCCTGTTTGAATTTCAAAGGGAAAGTAAGTTTGCCTGAACTGATGCACATTACTTAAACTGTTCACATATTCCTCATCAAAATAAACCCATTATGTTGCAGTAGCAGCTGCGAGCCATTATTAATATTTAACACCCTTAGCAGGGGTTACTATGGGTTTCTATATTAGGGCTATAAGAGTGTTGCAATATGTGCTGTGTAAGTTTATATGTGCTGTGAGTTTACATTCTCAGAGCTTTTTTGCCTTGTTGTGTAAAGTGCCAGTGAAATCTTGTTTGTTCCCTTTCCCTACCATTTGCAGCAGCTGAATACCCTTCCCAGCTGCATGTTTGGTGCGTGATTACCTGTGGAAGGACCTTGCACTTCTTCATTGCCTCTAGTTTTTCTTGTACATCACTTGCCACTTAGGAATGTGAATGCTGCAAGTCCCATGCTGATGGGAGCAATCTTGCACATGAAAGCATGTGAATGGTTTGGGTTGTGCTATTACAGACATGTTCCATTTTCTCCAAGCATGTGGCTTCTGGTGTCAGCTGCTGGAGAATGATACCAGCCAGCTTCCTCTTCCTAACTACATCTTATGACTGATTTTTGTTTATGACCTGTGCATGTTGAAAGGGCAGGCAGCCCTTGGGTGATTCATAGTTGTTCGCACTGAAAATAGGTGGGGTGAACATGCAGGGTGGAATCACTGTTTGGCACACCTGTGAGGAGGCTGTCCATGGCTGTGTTTGACCTTGGGTTATGGGGCCAGGAGCCAGTACCCAGCAGAGCACTGCAGGCTTAGCAGACGGGGTTGCTGCTGACATTTCAGGAGTGTGGGACAGGCTATCCAATGACCCTGGAGGGAGAGCCACTGGCCCCAAACCTGTGTTCCTGTCCAGGTCTTTTTTAGCCTTTGTCAACTCTTCCTTTAGGTCATAAAGTCCTTGGAAATCAAGCTGTGTATAGCGCTGCCTGGCTAATAAATCGTCAGGCAGGAAAGTCAACAGCACAGGAGGAGGAAACATTTGGAGCAGCAGCATATGTCCATTAGCATCACAAGTGCTGTTCCCCACTGCAGTGACTGTTAGGGAGGCACCCAGGGGCACGAGCTGCTGTCCCTTGATGACGTCTGAGTTAAATGTGCTGTGTGCAGCTAAACCATCAGCCTATGACCTTTAACGCATGCCTTGCTGATTGTTATACATAACTTGCTGCTGCACACACAGATGGATACACACTGACTAACCTCTCCGTACATCAATAAAAGCTCCCTTTCACATCGTGGTGGTTTTACCATGCTAGGCAGCTGAACACCACAACCACTCTCTCACTCCCCTTCCTTAGAAGAAGAGGGGAAAAAGTAAAGGAAAGAACAACTCATGGGTTGAGATAATTTAATTAAAGGGAAAAAAATAATTATTAAGGAAAGATTATTATTAATGAAACAATTTAACTAAAGGGGGAAAAAAGGAAAAGGGAGGGGGAAAGGGAAAAAAATAAAGGCTATGTAGAAGTGCAGAGGGAAAAAAAATTACTCTCTACTTCCCACAAACGAGCAATGCTTGACCACATCCTTGAAGCAGGACCTCAACTCACGTAGCCAATTTTCGGGAGGACAGACATTTTCGCAACGAGAACCCACCCCTCCTCTCTTGTTCCTGTTTCCACCCTTTATTGCTGAGTGTGACACCACATGATATGGAATATCCCTTTGGTTGGTTTAGGTCAGCTGCCCTGGTGATGTTCCTTTCTCACATTTTTGCCCACCCCCTAGGAGGGTTAGAGAGAGTCCTGATGCTGTGCCAGCACTGCTCAGCAGCATACACAACCCTGGTGGGATCCCACTGCTGTTCTAGCTACAAGTGCAGAGCACAGCACTGTATGGGCTGCTGCAGGGAAAATTAACATCCCAGCCAGACCCAGGACACACATTTAGTCAGGCTATCAGTGACGGGAGATACTAGCAGCATACCTTTTGCCTCCCAAGGTGGCTCATAGATTCACAGGTAGCAATGCCTTGTGCTGCTTATCTGCATGAAGTTGTCATTGAAAACACGGAGGTAGAGCTGTGTGAGGACAACTTTTTGAGCAATTCCTGGGTAGCTGTCTGTTTATCACTGGACCCCGTGACACCATTTTTTGACTTCAATTCCCAGAGTGAAACTAATGTCAAAATTATTCTTGCATATAGCATTAGAAAGTTAGTCATTGCAGAGTACTTCAGTGTTTAACTTGGCTTCCATATGTTTCTATTCATGCTGCTTTGCTTTTCTGTGCTAACTGCTTCTTCCCAGGTGCGTCCTCTGTTCACGTGCACCTGCACCCAACCAAGCCTTGTATGCAGCATCCTCACCGTCAGCCCACACTGATGAGTCTCTTGGTTATTTGTGTGCTGACTTAACATTTTCCTTCCCTCACTGAATTCAAATTCGGTACAATTAGTTGCTTTAGCATCTTAACTAAAAAAGCAATTAATACGATAGATCTGACAGTCACATGATAGTGGCACCTCCACTGGTGTGTAAATCAGCAATAAAAGTAAGGAAGACAGCTCCGTGGTGAGGGAAAGCTGTGCAGAACGGCCGGAGGGCTGCTAATAAGGGAGTCTTTCCTTGCCCCATTGCTTCTCTCTGAGTGGCTTTTTCAATCTGAACATCTTTGGAGAATGTTTTATTGGAAAATCTGTAAACAGATGCCTCACCACAACAAATGTTTTATTTAGACAAAAACAACTTCTTAATATTCATTTGCCAGAGTAGGTGTTTTTTAGTGTCATTCTGTACCTCACTTGCT